TCACCACCTTTGCATGATCATCGAGCAGAAAATCTGTCATTAAGAACACCAAGGGTATAAATATGTCAAAACATGTTATCTTATTATGCACATGACATCCGTAAAGGATAACTCTCATCAAAACGTCAATATTGTCGAACACTAAAGAACATGGAGTGGAATGCAGCTTTTAAACAAACATATTTTCTGACAATATCTTGTAGATGCAATGACGCAAATAAACATAACGTTTTTAAAATGATAATATCTTATTTTAACATTATTTTTGAAGTTTTTGTTAATTTTTTTACTGAATTCATGTTCCACAATTCAAATGCTACCTACCTATGAAGTTCTACTTGGAAACAATAAGCCTTTTCTCCCAACTTATTCCTCTAAGAGTATGATCATTTTCTAAACATGGTTCTTCAATTATTAAAATTTGATATTCTAGTAAGATAAAATATGGCAACATATTAATGATTGATTATGGTATTTTTTATATACAGGAAATGATTAATTTTCTTGTTGATATTTGGGAGCAAGAGGGTCTATATGATTGATTGATCGATCAAACAAAATATGCAACTTGTTTTTATTTTCTATTACTAAGGGTTCTTTTTCTTTTCTTTTTTAATTTTAAATGAATTTGATTAGATTATTAATTGTATAATCAAGGTTTAATGTTTATTGTTGCAACTAGTGACACAAGAAATTGTAATTTATTGATGTAATTGTGTAAATATACTAGGTTTATGCTATTGGACTGATGTTTATAATAATAATAGTTTTGTTATGATCCACATGAAATAGTAGTGATTGTTGAAAAAAGTTATTATTTTTCATTAAAGAAAATTGGATGATTAGATGAAAAGTTGGATTAATAATTTTGCATAAAAAGTATAAACAAGTATTTTCAAACTGATTTTAATATCTTTAGTAATAAATATGATTATCTTTTATCCTTATTTATTAAATTATGTATGTATTAGTTTATGCATGTATTGGTTTATGCATGTATTGGTTTATAACATTATAACAATGCATTTGATAATATTTAGATTATTTAATATTTGATATGATGTCTTATAATTGTTTAAGGTTCAAAATAGTGTAAAACAACATACCAATTATTGTTTAAGATTCAAAATAGTGTAAAACAACGTATCATTTATATTTTAATTTGTAACGCTCACATCCCATATGTTTTTAAAATGTAACAATTAGGTCCTTCCAGTTAAAAAAAATTAAAATTTAAAATTTTAAAAATTTAAAAACTTAAAAAAAAAAATTAAAATCCACGTAGAATTAAAAAATAAAATAAAATAACACATCATCACTGTTAAGTGCCACATGTGCTTCGTTTGTGTCACATAGGCTTTTTTGGAACAGAAATTTTTAAAAAGGTCAATGGTGCAAACGTTATTCTATATACGCATGTCCAAACTAAAACATCAAACAGACATGTTATACAATAAGGCCTAAGAATAAAATATAAGAACTATGTATAATATCTTCATTGTACACAACTCCACAGCGGAAGATCACAAAAATCAACATCCCTTGAAACATCAATGCGCAACTTTTCATGTATACAAAACCTACAAACAATACCTGAAAAATAACAACAAAATTGGGGTGAGATAATAATCTCAGTGAGTTCTCCTATCCTATGGGTTCACTCGGCTCTACAGGTTCTAATCAATTCCTAACTCAAGTCACAAAAAGGGGATAAGAATTTGAGTTCAAAAAAATCACAATGTATGGAAACATGTCTCTTGAGTTCATCAATGCAAATGATCTCTAATTTGAAAATCGTACAAAGGCATCTTTTTCTGGCAAACCCTGTGTCTAGAGTTATCGACATGGGTCAAGGATCCTTGTATCATACTTTGACATACACATGGATTTCATATTCTAAGGGATAACATCAACCTTACGAATCTTTGCTTCCTATGGGACTCCAAATCCATTTCAAGCCTTTCGCCCGTATGGGACTCTAATCCACTTAAGGTTCGATCGTTTCCTAGGGACTCAAACCCAGGTCAAAGTAATGGTACATACATTCTAATGGAGCTCTACATAAGCATCGTTCTTGGGACGACATAGTTAGGGAGTTGTTTCCGACTACATAATAAAGCATAACATAACGTGATCGTATTCGACAATCACAAGATTATCACATTCACCTTAACACATGGCAACACAAAATGTTTCATACAAAACACCTTATTCATCAAACACACTACTACATTTTCGTGGTACACACCACGGTACAATCACGTCCGAGCATCACTATCTAAACCATTTAACATCATAAGTTATCTTACTAAGTCATTTACCTAGTTATAAACCTATGTTTCCTCACTCATCTTATTAGAATTTTAAGCATGTTATTTCACAACCAATGCAATCACAAGATACAACAATAATTCAAGCGTAGATTTATGAAATGCATCACATAAGCAAAACAATAATATATAGCATGCCTTGGTTAATTCATGGTCTCACAATAAATAGGACTTTCAGAGGCAAGCTCCTCATCAGATAGGACTTTTGGAACAAAGGTTCCTCACCAAATGTCAAAACAGTTCTCATGGTGTTCATCAAAATACTAGGTGTTCATCTTCACTCGTTCACATATTATTCTACATGCATTTAAATTCATTCCATTCTGTCAATCAATGACATATAACCATGTTTCTACTTCACTATCACATAGAGCATTGGAATAGATTTCCAACGCTTCCGACCGTGCGTCCATCGGAGTTACGGCCCTTAAGTTATGGGGGAAACAAGGAACAAAATTTTGCATACTGTCATAGTTGGCCGGCTGGCTCGCCTTTGGTTTGCACGGAGAACCCCAGGCGAGGTGCAAGGTGAATCAAAATTGCATCATATTCGCTTGACAAGCATGTAGCGAGGCAACTCGCTTTCTGTTCGCCAAATCTCGCCCAATGACGCTAATAGAAAACAAGTCGCCACGGGCTCGCCAAAGCCCGCCCGATGACGCTGACAGAAATCAATTCGCCTCAAGCTCGCCCGGTGACTCAAGCGAAATTCAGAATCTATAAAACGCAGATTATAAGGTAAACATGGCCAAAGCTCTCAAACCACATGATCATGTAGCATTCAAAACTCAATTTAACATGGATTAACATAGTAAGACATGTAATTCATCAAGATCATCAAGTATTAACATCCAAATCACACTTAGACATGTTTTTCACACAAAATCTAAATTCTCAATCATGCACTTTCTTTTCTCCCAAAGTTAAGTCTAATTATGAAACTCACTTTAAAGATGCATAAGGTGATGAAATTGAGATGAAATCATGGCCTAAATGATGATGATAAACTTTCTCTTATTCTTCCCCTTTTTTCTTTTCTTCTTCTTTTCTCTTTCTCTTTTCCTATTTTCTTTCTTTCTATCTTTTTCCTTTTCTTTCTTAACCACACAAATATATATATATATATATATATATATATATATATATATATATATATATATATATATATATATATATATATATATATATATATATATATATATATATATATATATATATATATATATATATATATATATATATATATATATATATATATATATATATATATATATATATATATATATATATATATATATATATATATATATATATATATATATATATATATATATATATATATATATATATATATATATATATACACTGACAAAAGATAGAGGATATAGAGACTTAGTTAATCTCAATTAATATTGAGCATTTAAGAGAATATGAGATATTATATGAACCAAATCCAGAATGCAACCTTTTAGCGAGTATCCATTTATTATATTTTATCTAGAGAATTTCTTGACTATGCCGCTCGAATTAGGTCAAACTTATTGATTTTAAAAATAATTAATTTGTCTTTATAATTAATTTTAATTTGAAGGTAGAATTTATAGTTCTTGAATCTTTACATAATTTTATAATAAAATTTACTGTTTAACTCACTTTAATTAAAAAATATAACTCATTTTATCTTTCATTGACTTTTAACCATAATAAATTTTACAAGATCAATTCTTATCACCCCATACACAAACACAAAAATTGAAGCTAATTCTAATGTGTGAGAGAGAGAAAAAAAAAAAGTACATACGTACTAAAGATCTTCTTCTTATAGAAGAAACAACAAATTTGATTAAAAATAATAAAAAAAATTAAAAAATTAAAAAAATAAAAAATAAATAAACATTCATTATGTAGTTTTAATGTATAAATGTATCTAGGATTCGTGTGTTAGTTATTACACATTCTTAATGTAGTGAGAGTATCTTTGCATGCAAAAAAACCGTGAAAACGCACGGATATGTGTGAAAAAGGAAAAGCTCGTATAATAAGGAAACGGGTGGTGCGCAATCCAAGACATGACATTTTAGAATAGGGAAGATCGTGACAATATTGGGTTGGGTGAAAGGTACATGCCCAATGAGTGGTATATAAATGACGAGAGTACTATAACAACAAGTGGATCCACAACACTGTTCAATCATTAAAAATTGTACGAAATTTTCATACATAAAAACTACTACAGTAGTATAGATTAAATCTCTAAACTCTTTTACTTAAGGCTCTAACACCGCCAAAAACAGTCAAATATCATAATGGGACCCATAAATATCATAGAATCTGTGTAGCATACGGGTCTTGTGTTGGACTCTAGAAACTTGGTTTCCTTTTTCATTTTTTGTGACAGAAACTTGTCTTCATTTCTACGTTGAGTGCGGGAGCAATAATGAATAAACAGAAACTCCAAATCAGGTCAATAGTAATAAGTTGAACCTTTGTCAATTTCATAAAAGAATCACGGAACAAACACGTTTATTTACTTTAGACTTGTTTTCTCACCAACTAATAAAAGCACTTTAGAGACTTGTGTGTATATAAAATTGAAGTGATGTATGTTCTTCTTCTTCCATAAAGTATTACTGTCCCTTTTATGCCTCCTGTAATAATAATAATAAGGAAATGGAAGATGGGCCTTACACTGGAGGTGGGGTGGATAAGGGAAGGGCGAGACATTATAAAGGGAGGGTCACAGTTCATGTTATCATCGCTTGCATTGTTGCTGCCACTGGCGGGTCCCTCTTCGGCTATGACGTTGGGATTTCAGGTTTGTTTTTTGTTTTATGAAACTTCTTCTTTACTACTCATCATCTTCTTTGCGCGATCTATTCAGATTCAGTCCTTGTCGTATCGATTTGTTCTGATAAATAATATTATGTGTGTTGAAAGCTTAAAAGGGAAAGGAATATAGGTTGTACTTGGCTGACATAAGACTTAACAATAAGAAAAGAAAAAAGAATCTCATTTTCTGAGTATTCTTTCATAAGATTTAAGCCTTAGATTGCAAATCCCATTTATGGGTTGTACTTGCCGTTTTTATTAGATGCAGCTCCCAATCATCTTCTCAACTTGGAAAAAAATTTCTCCTAAAAATGTCAAATTCTGCATTAGCTTGCAGGATATCAATCTGAAATTCTGCATTAGATTGCAGGATATCAGTTATTTTGATTCTGATGTTCCAAATCAATTACATTATAATTTCTTATTACCACCCGAATCTTGTGCTACAGCAACCATAGCAATTGATTTGAATCACCTTCTGGGACAACACATTGTGTATAACCCTTTATGATGATCCAACACTTAATCCTATTTATAGAAATCTCTTCTCTTTGGAATAGCACCGACACCTTTGAAAATAGACATATTTGTGTGTTTGTTTCCGAAGAATAACTAGGTTGAGTAAGAACCGTAACCGGTTTAACCAAAAGACTGTCAGAAGAATGACTAACTAATAATAATAAACTAAACGAATTTATATTTAACTCCTAACAGTCCCCCTCAAGCTTGAGAGCATATGTTGAACAATCTCAGATTGGAATGTATTTTATGGAAAGATGAGGGTTCAAGAGGTTTAGTAAAGAGCTCTGCTTAATTGGTTTGTAGAAGCTACAGAAGATGAAAGAAGTTGGCTTGAAGTTGCTGTCTAACAACGTGACAGTAATGTTTAAGTGCTTTGTCCTTTATGAAAGCTTGGATTTGCAGTGTGACGAGTAGTGCATGTTGGATGAAAGAGATGTGAAGATCTTAAAGGAGATAAGCGAGCAATCGAAGCTCACGAGTTGGTGATTATAAGGGTCAGTTGTTTGGCTTCTGAGGATGAATGAAAGAGATTGGTTTGTTTCTTCGAGCGCAGTGAAATTAATGAGGTTCTAAAGAAAACGGCAAATGCAGTGGTTGAGCGACTAGATGTTTGACAAGAGTCAGTCTAAATCACAGAAGGCTTTAGTTGAATGGTTTAGTCTGAAGGAAAGAACAAGCCTTGAGCCTGGAGGACTTTGCATGAATTAGCTCAATTGTTGAACAACAAACTAACATCGGGGGTATTTCATATTTTTAAGGTAAAGCTAACTAGCGGTAATTCATCTATAAGCAGGAGGATCATTAGGAATAACATTTGTGTTGATACTGCAAGTGCAATAAGTTAGTGATCGAAGATCTTTCCGCAAAGTATTCAGACACAGTATGGTCGCTTTGCTTCAAAGAATGGATTTCTTAGAAAATATTAAGAGAATCTGAAATGAATCATACTTCGGTAAACCATAAAGTTTCACATTGCTTGTGAATCAAGACTAAGGGTAGTTTATAAACACCGACACTTCTCAACTCAACGGGACGCCTTTTACAAAAGACAAAATCAGGATGGCTCACACAAAGCCAAAAGCAAACAATACCTCACAAATGCATTGTAGACTTGACGATGAAACATTGACCTCATCTCTGGAAACGAGGTCTAAGCCACACATGATGACTGACATACCCTTTACCTCCTTAGCCTATACTACCAAATTAGAGTGTAAATCTGAACAACACTGAAAACATATTCAACGAATATGTCTCGTATTTTTATCATTTTTCTTATCAGAATATGTTATTGATATATTTGATCAAAGAGTTTTCTGAATAACCTCGTGAAATCGAATTAATAAAATCAACCTATTAACCAATGACAGTTATAATAGAAAATTAACAATCTTAAACATAATGTTTATAGTTAATTGATCAGAAAATTGACGCTTCTGTCATGGTTAACAGGAGGGGTTGCTTCCATGGATGACTTTCTTCAGAGTTTCTTCCCCGCAGTGTACGCACATAAATTGGAAGCACATGAAAACAACTATTGCAAGTATAATAATCAGGGCATTTCTGCATTTACCTCTACTTTATACATTTCTGGTTTTATTGCATCCCTGGTTGCAGCTCCAGTTACAAGGAAGTTTGGCCGGAGGGCAAGTATCATAATTGGCGGTATCAACTTTCTCATCGGGTCGGCTCTTAATGCTGCAGCTGTTAATCTGGAAATGCTCATCATAGGAAGGATTCTGCAAGGTGTTGGCATTGGATTTGGAAATCAGGTATAGCATTTTTTTTTCTATAATCCTGTATCCATTTTCTTTAAAAATAGTAACTTTTATGTAAAACATAGGTTTATTTATTAAAAGAACAATCAAGCAAGCATTTATCGTGTTTGAAAACCAAAGTCCAAAAGTCTAGATAACCAAAGTAGGAGTATTAAATGTAGCTTGGAGAAGTGTCTACCAACATTAATTATGCGGGTGTTAATGTAGGGTCGACAAATTTTACACGAAAAAAAAAGGAAGTAATGCGATGGAAACAATCGAGGGTCCAATAAAGTATGTTTGAGTTAGAAGATAATTCAGTTATACTATACCTTTTTGAAGGCTATTCCGCTCTATTTGTCAGAGATGGCGCCGACCCAATTTCGAGGAGCGCTGAACATGATGTTTCAAGTCGCAACCACTTTTGGGATTTTTACAGCAAATATGATCAACTATGGAACACAGCAGATTCAACCATGGGGGTGGAGGCTGGCCCTTGGCCTTGCTGCAATACCAACTCTTTTGATGACTGTCGGAGGAATATTTATTCCAGAGACTCCAAATAGCTTAGTAGAAAGAGGATCAAAGGAACAAGGGAGGAAGCTCCTTGAAAAAATGAGAGGTACGGATGAGGTAGACGCAGAGTTCCAAGATATGCTTGATGCAGGTGAATTGGCAAACTCCATAAAGCACCCCTATTGGAACATCCTTAAAAAAAGATACAGACCAGAGTTGGTCATGGCTATCTGCATGCCCGCATTCCAGATTCTGACGGGCATAAACTCGATTCTCTTTTATGCTCCAATGCTATTTCAAAGCATGGGATTTGGCAGAGCGGCGTCTCTCTACTCCTCAGCCTTGACTGGAGTAGTTCTCGCCTTATCAACATTCATTTCTATTGCAACAGTAGATAGATTGGGGAGACGACCCTTACTCATCAGCGGGGGAATACAAATGATTGTATGCCAGGTATCGAAAAATCACCATTTAATGCAATTTCCGATTATGCTTACAAGAACTGTGACAGTAAAAACAGTATGTAGCAGTGCACATAAGTTTTATTATTGAATATAGGCTTGTTTTTCATATGTGCAGGTCATAGCTGCCTTAATTTTGGGGGTCAAGTTTGGAGAAAACCAAGAATTGTCAAAAAGCTATTCAATATCAGTTGTAGTTGTACTGTCTCTCTTTGTTCTAGCTTTTGGGTGGTCATGGGGGCCACTAGGATGGACAGTCCCGAGTGAAATATTTCCATTAGAAGTTCGATCAGCAGGGCAGAGTATCACAGTGGCTGTAAACCTTCTGTTCACTTTCATAATCGCGCAGGCATTCCTTTCCCTTTTATGTTCTTTCAAGTATGGGATCTTTCTGTTTTTTGCTGGGTGGATAAGCATCATGACAATATTTGTTGTCTTGTTCCTACCTGAAACCAAGGGAATTCCCATCGAGGAGATGTCAATTATTTGGAGGAAACACTGGTTCTGGAAAAGGATACTGTTGGATGATGCTGATCGATTATCTCAGGACTCTGGAACTGAATTAATTCATTTAGATGTGTAATCGACTTTACAAGATGCAGTATAGAACTGAAAAGTTTATCCAAATCAATAGAGTTTACCTTCCATTTGCTGTAATTAAGAAATTAGAGAACTATAAAAGTTAGTTGAAAAGGAGTTGAAAAGGACAGGGTAGCTCTTATTGTATTTGTGGAAAATGATAAAGTTGATTGTTCGTGCAGTCATCTAAATCATCTAAAACATAGCAAAAATACCGAACCCAGAAGCAAACTCCTCATTTAGTAATACACTAAAAAATGTTAGGCAACTCGTTAGACATTCTATGCAGAGATCGGTCTGGATTTGAAATCCAGATTTGAAAGAATATAGTGGTGTTATTTCACAAATTTGACGCCCACATTAAATTAAAGTTTTTGATTAAAATATTAATTTCTCGAGGTAATGTGAAGAAGTCTTCGACTTGGTCTTTACAACAAATGAAATCGAAGGCGCTCGCATTAGAAAGGAAGACTTTTTAGAACTTAGAAAAAGATTTCTAAAATTAAAGTTACCTTCGACCGAGAATGCTGGCCAAATACTAGCAGAATCTGAAATTCAAATAAAGGAGAGAGTAGTTATGCTTTCTTATTCTTGAACGAGACAAGTGACACACATCCAAGAGACAAATACATGCAGCACGACACTTGTCAGGGATTGATTATCTTAGGAAGTTAACGACAGTTATTTTTATTATTATTATAAATAGGGGTTCTAGCAATAGGATTCGGGGTGTTGTGTTTACTATTGTACAAGTCACTTCAAATTTTCTCAAAGTATCCGTGTGTAGAGAAACGAGTCTTGGAAGAATGTACGTAATGTAAAAACATCATTTTTATGCTTTAATGAAATTTACTTTCACTTTATCTTAAAAGAGTTCATCTTTTATTTTCCTGCAATTTACGTCTTTAGTGTTACGCTTTATTTCTTTTAAGACTTTTTATTAAAGTTTTACCCTTTTCTTTCAATTTAACACTCTTACATTCCTGTCGAACCATACATTTCAATTGTCCTTTATTCATAAACATTGTCGAAGTGTTCAGTCTTTAATATTTTCCTATGATCAATCTGATCGATCCTGTGAGTCACCAAAGTTAGATTTGGAAGATCAACGGTTGTTTTTCAATTTTCACGGGAACAAATTGGCACGCCCAATGGGACAGTGCTAAAAGTTTATTAAGTTTTTTGTAAAAGTTTTGGAAAACTGCAGTTGTTAGTGTTGTCTTTGAGAAAACTTTGTTGCATGTTATTAAGAAGTGGTAAAATAGCCGCTACAAACGAAGAAAGACCAAGGAGAAACTACACTAGGGAAATGGCGACAAAATGTTAATCAGCCAAATAACACAAACCTTCGAGGGAATGGTTCTAATCTCCAGCCAAGTAACACTAATCCTCGAGATGTGTATAAGAATGATGTAGTTCCACCCTCAGTCCCTTCGATAGGAGAGCAGATACCGTCTCTTGTTATGCCTGAACCAGTGCCATCAGTGGTGGGTTCAGGGTCGGCAGATATAAGGGCCTACACTTAGCCCGTTTTGGAGTATGTTGGGCCATATGCATCCAATCCCCAAACTCCGCCAGGGGGAAACTTCGACGTTGAGACATTTCCTCCCTCCAGGGTTTTCACAACCATTACCAAAAAATTCACCATATGGAATGCCAACGTCAATAATGCAAGGCCTCCAAAACGCTCCTCCAGTATTCTCAGAGAATGTGATGGCTTCACCGTTACAAGGATCAGGATCTGGGATTAATGTTGGTCGAAACAGTCAAAGTGTAGGTCTGGGGTATTCCACTCAGGGCCCTAATCTGACAAATATTTCGATAGCTTGTTTGAGACAACAAATAGATGAGAGCAACCTGCAAATGGTACAGACCTTATCCCAAACTATGGGGGAAATTTTCCAGCCCTTGATCCAAAATACTCCCCAGACTAACCAACAATTAGCAGTGCAATTGGCACGCTTAGCAGAATTTATGGGTGTACCAGCCTCTGTTAGAGGCACGATGTAACACCCATTTTAATTATTTAGTCTTTTTGGTGTTATTTTATGTTGGTGTGTCCTTATGTAGGGGTGTGTTTGAGCGCGTTGTTGGGTGTCCTTAATTTATAGGAATTATTTAATAAAAATGTAGAGTTTAATATTAATATAATATAATTGATAATGGTAATAATATAATAATTTATAGTAATGTGGTTATTATTATTATTATTATTATTATTATTATTATTATTATTATTATTATTATTATTATTATTATTATTATTATTATTATTATTATTAGATTAAATAAATAAAATAGGGATTAATAAGGGGTATTAGAAGAGTTTTGGGGAAGGAGAGAATTACACGATAAATCAGTTTAGAGAAAGAATTTGGGAGGAAGGACAAGGAAGGAGAGAAGCAAGGCTAGGGTTGCTCATTCTTGAAGATTCTTCAACAATCGGAGCATTAATCGAGGTAAGGGGGGAGAAACTGATTGGGTTTGGTATCTACATGAATTGGGTAGAGGGGATTCCTTAACCCCGTAGGAATTTGATGATTATGATTTGTATGTTGATGAATTGGTGCATATGTGTTTATAATTGTTACTGTTATGATGAATTTCGTGTACATTGATGTGTTTATGAGTATTGTTGCCATTGATGAATTTAGGCATGTGTTGTTGTGAGATTGGTGAGGTTCTGTGTAACTCTGAAGTAGTAGTGATGAACAGGAGCATTAGTTCTGGAGATAAAATTGGTAGAATAATAATTAGAATAGTGAATATTAGTTGTAGTAGTGATATGACAGAAGAGGGATGAAGAGGGATAGGCTTGAAATTTAGCAAGATGACATTGTTTGACAGTGAGGGTTTTGGGAGATCGCAGACACTCGCTAGCACCTTCGCTAGGCGAGCTAGTAACGAGCATTCGCTAGTAGGTTCGCTAGGCGAGTGGAGTAGCGAACCCTTCCAGTAGCTACTGTCTGCCTTCGCTAGGGAGTTTGCTAGGCGAGCAGCTAGCGAGCGTTCGCTAGGGCTTCGCTAAGCGAATGAGCCAGCGAGCGTGACAGAAAAGTGATTTTGTGCTGTTTTTCCTTGTGACCTCGTTTTGTAGGATCCCTTGGGTTGTGACAGGTATAGATGTGGTGTTTAGTGGTGAAGAGTGTATACTTGATGTGGAAAGGTGAAATTATGTAGTAATGAATTTAATCAAAATAATTAAATTGGTGTGTGTGAGATATGTGCGAGGTACGGTGATGTGATCAGGAGGATCTTGTGACTTTAACTAAAATAATTAATCGGTGGGTAATATGTATGTATGATGTATGGTAAGGTGATCAGGAGGATCGTGTGCACTTGGTGTGCTTGATGTTTATTTGTTGTGCATTTGGTGTCGTGCATATCATGATGTTTTGGTGGGATGAATCATTGCTTAGGAGGAGTGTATGTGATTCATCCGTACTCCTTTGTGGAGAATTGTGGGGATAGATCATTGCCAAGGAGGGGTGTATGTGATCTATCCGGGGTTCGATCGAATGAACCAATGAGTCGGTACCGCATGCATGGTGTTGAGTTGCATATTTGCATTGTTGTTTGTCCTGTTGGTGTTTGGACAGTAGGTCGTGACTGAAGTTGGTTGGGTGATGATTTGTATATTTTCTACCTTTTCTTTCATGTATCTTATTACCGATAATTTTGATCATGTTTTCTCACCCCTTTGTTGTTGTTGTGGTATGTACTTCTTCGGAAGTACAGATAATCCAGGTACTTAGTTAGCTTGGATGGTGGTGTGCGAGTCGAGTCTTAGGATGCTCTGATACGTAGCACGGGACTTGGGTGTTTATTTGTTTTATGTTGAACTTGTTTATTTCCTGTGATGTATCATACTTGGTGAACCTTATTTATAAATGACTTTATGTAATTGGCGGATGGCCGAGAATGTTGAACTAAGGATTATTTCCGCTGCTTTATTTTGAAAACCATTTGATAATGAGTTATGATGAATTATTTGATGTGATATCCCACTTTAGTGGAAGAATTCTGATGTTTATTTGAAATAATTGTATTTTATTTTAATTGGGAAAGTAGGGTGTTACACACAGCCGTGGTGGAAAATATTCCATGACGTAACCTAGGAAACATACCTGAGGCGAATCTAGAAAATCAATGGAAAGTTGAACCCCTTATACTCGAACCTCCTAGGGTCGAACTGCCTAGGGACCAAGCACCAATTTTGGTAGAGGGAAAACCAAAAGTGATTATGGTGAATTGAAACCAAGATGCTGGCTATGTTATACAGCAGGTTCGACGTAATAGCATAGTTGTCGATAATAACTTAGCAGCCATGGTCACCAATAGTAGATTATATTCTCCAGTCAGAATTACCTCCTAGGAGGAAGGTGCCAAAGTTTACCAAGTTTTCAGGAGATACTACTGAATCTAGTATCAAACACGTAGCCCGGTATATGATCGAGGCTGGAGAGATTGCAAATGATGAAAGTCTTAGGATTAAATACTTTCCAAGCTCTCTCACTAAAAATGCTTTCACCTGGTTTATAACCCTACCCCCTAACTCAATCTGTAATTGGACCCAGTTGGGACGTTTATTCCATGAACAATTCTACATGGGACATACTAAGATTAGTTTGAAGGAATTGGCTAGCATTAAACGAAAGTTTTATGAGCCAATAGAAGATTACTTAAATAGGTTCTGACTACTTAAGGCTAGGTGTTTTACTCAAGTACCTAAACATGAGTTAGTCGAAATGGCCGCTGGTGGCCTTGATTACTCTATTAGGAAGAAATTAGATACCCAATATCTGAGAGATATGACCCAACTAGGTGATAGGGTTTGACAGCTAGAGCGTCTGAAAGACGAAAAAGCTAAATTTAATAAGAGTAAGAAGGTAGCTTATGTCGAATATAATGAGAATATCGAGGGTTTACATGAAGAACCATTCTATTTCGATGAGAACGAGATAGATGTTGCTGAATTAAAGCAGGGTCCTCCATATGATTGTA